CCATAGGGAGTAGAAAATAACAATAATACAGCACACTATACTTATTTGCTGCCAATCTTAAAAGGTTTTTACAAAATGTTCGATGTTACTTTCTGATGTCTGAGTTAGGTTTGTGTTTTTTAAGGCCTCTTACAACTGAAAGGCCTGAAACTGTGAGGACTAGTTTGTTCCTCAGTGCTGCTGTTGGTTGACGTGGAAGTTGATGGTAGAATAAAGAGGTTTTTCAGTGAAGCTGGAAGGATGATTGACAGTAGAGTAGGTGGGACCCTCGACACTGCCCCCTACAGTGGAACACGTGTCACTACTAACTCCAACAGGGCTTTTCTCAAACAGGACGTTTAAGTAATGGGAGGCAGAAACCTTTGTGGGGAAGTTGGCAGTGACATACACTGTTTTTGGGGCAGTTCCTAAGTCCGGCTTCTGGGGGCGCTCTTCTATCTCTGCATAGTTGTGATCCTGCCAGGATATAAAACACAGACTTTATATACAATCCTAAAAATAAGCATCAACTCTTACTTAAGTTCGTAAAGACAAAGCATCATCTCAGTTGCTCGGAAAAACATGTATCTTTAATTCTGAGAGCTGTCCCATGATCACGTGCAAATGTATGCACCCTCATACATAGCTCTCGTTAAAAGAGTACAATTTAAAACAATTTAGCCATGATGCTAGCAGCGTAGCTCTGTGTGTGGTGGTACCAGTCAGACGATTGCTCGAGACATAAAATATTCTTAGTAATGTGTGTTTCATCTAAATTGTATGGATTGTTGTTTTCTTTACCCTTGAATGAGCCTTTATATGAAACTACTTTACATTTAAATACTTTATATTTAAATATTTATATTTACAGCAGTCCAGACTGGACAAACTAAACCTCTTGAGTTTTTATGACAACTGAAGCTACCACAGATTCACCTATATGTTTGGAAGGGGATGGGGAGGTGAGGGGTATTCAGCTGCAACAGGACACTTCACCACTAGATGTCACTTAAAGATTCCAGCAGTTATTGATTACACACACACACACACACACACACACTGTATTTACCTCGTTCTGTGCTCCTCCATGAGTTGTGTTTTTTGAACCATCACATCCTGTGAGAGACAAATGAGAAAATGTAAGGGGAGAAGAAAACAATGTGTTGGCTCTGTCCTGTTCAGTTGTACGTTGTACGTTGTACGAGAGCTTGCATGTGTTGTGATTTTTTTTGCAGCCTCGTTGACAGGTGTCGTCAAATTGATGAAGTTGTTTTCTTTTGTGTATTTACACCTGTTTGCATTTGTCATGACTTTGTCACCGTGTATCCCCACAAAACCAAATATATTGAAATCTAGACAGAAATCAGACATTAAGGAGGTAACATGTACGTGAGTGTTTCATGTTCTGCAGGGTAAGGAATCTCTTACGTCTATAAATAATGATAAGAAGCACCAACACGGCCGCACACATCACTGCAACAATTGCACCAATCACTGGTAACAGAAAGCCATCTGCAAATCAAAGCCAAACAACCACAGAACAACCATCACCAACAAAATTCATCCAGAATCAAAAGTGTAACTGAATTTAAGGGAAGTTTTCACAAAAAAATGTTTTTCCTGCTCTTGTATGTTTTAAAAAACAAAGTCCTTCCTCACCCTGATTCTTATCAGGTGCAGTGGTTGTCTTCTCTGAAGTTAAAGATCTAGTAGTTTCATGGACGGGGGGTATTGTTATAAGTCGAGGTTCTGAAACTAGATGAGAGAGATTAAAGTCAAAATGACAAAATACAATTATAAATAAATTATAAATATAAATTCGAGCAGCGGGCGACTCCTCTGGTTGCTGTTGCAGGGAATGTGTCAGACACAGACGAGTGTCACCATCCAGATGATCCTCCAACAGTTTACATCCAAACATTTGAATAATGCAACCACTCACCTACAGTCATCACAAGTCTGTGGACGAACACGTCACTGCGTGCTTTGTCCGAGGTTTCTGCTCCACACCAGTACGTCCCAGAGTCGTCTGTCCTGAGGTCTGTCATTGTGAAGCTGATGTTTAGCTTGGAGTTGTCTTCTTTAAGGGAAAACCTCTCGTTCGTACTTATTTTGCCGCTCGCCAGACGTTCACACAGAGATGGATCTTCTCCCTTACAAACAAATTTCTTGATGAAATTGTTCTTGGTGAAGTCACACATGTATGTGAGTGTCTCTCCAACGGTTGCTGATCTTGTGTCGCTTGTAATATCTGTAGATACAGGAGATAAAGATGTTAACCCTCTGACAGTCAGGGGGGAGTATAWGCCCCCACATATCAATCAATCAAATTTTATTTGTGTAGCTCATATTCACAAATCACAATTTGTGTCATAGGGTTCAACAAAGGGCTCATTCTAGGGTAAAGAAAACAATTCATACAATTTAGATGAAACACACATTACTAAGAATTGTCATGTCGACTTAATCTCCAGTCTATGACTCACATGCAAGTAAAACTCATCATTATATGTTGTGAAGTAAAAAGTTCAATCGTGACTTCATGTATGAATATTGACTCACTTTGAACCTCCAGCTGTATTYGTCTGATTGAACGCTTGTAATCAGCTGATTTCACACCACACCAGTAGACGCCACTATCCTGTGAGGACACGTCACTGATGGACACATTGAGGCCTCCTTCGATTTTCGTCAGTGTAAACCTTTCGGGGAAAATCTCAGTGCAGTCAAAACCGTTGTCTTTGCAGAAATAACTTTCCCTGTTCTTCTTGTCATATTTGCATGTTACGGTGGTTTTAGCCGTTGCGTAAGCAGTTTGATGAAGATTTTTCCTGCAGCCATCTGTCGGTAAAAGAGAAACGTAAAAGGTGTCAGATTCAGTTTACTCAGTCATTTGAGAAAGCCGAGGCAAGACAGTTTTATTGATTTCATGCACAGAGGTCGACGTTAAAAACAACAAAGTTAACGTAAATCACTTTGAAATGAGAGAGCATAGGTTACAACAATGTTCAAGCAAAAATAAAAGAGATTAAAAAGAGTGGAATAAAAGCGGTGAAGAGAAATATAAAGAACTAAGTCTTATATAAAATCTAAAAAGAAACACAAATGAAGTAGATCAAGATATGATCTTGTAAGATAGAGACAGGGGGATGTGACCCATACTGCAGCCACCAGGGGGCGATCAAGATGCTTTGGCTTCACGTTTGAGGAGCTGTCATGTCTTTAATCTTTGTTTACATTAAATAATCCTGACAGAC